GAAGAAGAAGTGCAAGAGGTCATAGAAGAGCTGCAGGAAGTAGCGGAAGAAGAAGTGCAAGAGGTCATAGAAGAGCTGCAGGAAGTAGCGGAAGATAATCAAATGCCGGAAGCGGAAGAAGAAGTGCAAGAGGTCATAGAGGAGCTGCAGGAAGTAGCGGAAGAACATCCAGCAGAACCAGCAACAGAACCAGCAACAGAACTAGCAACAGAACTAGCAGCAGAACTAGCAGCAGAACTAGCAGCAGAACAGCCAGAGGAACAGCCAGAAGAACAGCCACGAGAGGATGAAGCGGAGGAACCACGGGAGGAAGTCGGGGAAGAGGAGTCCTCTGAATCGTCTGGCGATAACTTTTTCCGAGGGATACACATTCGAGAATATATAGATATTCTAGGTATTAAAAACAGTGCCGGAAATATGGTGAAAAATGTGTTCAACATATTTGGTGGAGAGAATGGGATTGTGAGCATGTTCAAGGATTTCGCAGAGAATTTTGCCAAGAACGACGAAAATGTAGACGAAAAAATGGAATGAAATGATATAAAATAAAGTAAAAGAAAACAAAGGAAAGTAACACATATCAATTGTCAGGCATCTTTGATGCGAAATTGTATTAACATGTACACGTCCCAAATTGCGATTTTTACGAAATTGAAGTTATATTTTATTTTTTTTTTAAATACAGCCACAGTTACCAAAAGGAAGAGGTACTAATCCTACACAGTGAACGTGCGGAGTTCTACGTCCGTAGAACTCATTCTGTCCGCGCAGCTCACTTTTTTCTTTTTTTTTTGGGACTATAATGATGAAACTCAGTAGCATTCCATTTTTTCTTTTCCTTCCGCCTATGTTACGTTTCTATTCCTTCTTCTTACGACCTTTTTCTTTTCCTTCCGCTCATGTTCTTTTTCTTTTCCTTTTCCCTTTTTTTTTTCCTTTTTTCCGCTCCTTTCCCCTTCACCCCCGTGTGTGATACACGTAACATTAAAAATGATGCTACAGAAAAAGACTCCACTGTCCCAAGCAAATGATCACTTAACGGCTTGTTATAAAATAAAAACGTGGTATTCTTTTTCCATCTAAAAGGAGTATTGAACTGGGGGTGTTTTTTTTTGGTTTTCCCGCTTTAATCAGTTCGCTGTGCATGCAACAGTACCCAGTGGTTAGGAGCTTTGTTTAGGAACAATCTTTTGCTTAAAATTAAGGGAACGCAAAGCGCTTTTTTTTTTTTCTTATTTTATTCACGAGGAATTTGCAAATGGGCGAACTTGCAAATGTGTACATTGGCACATTTACCCCCCCCTAAGGGGCGTTATTTTCCGATGGTACCATTTTCCTGGCAGAATGAAATGCAGAACAAGAAACCGAAGGAATGGAGCCGGAACTTCCCTGTTTGCATTATTAAAATTAAGGGAGAAACCTGCGATTAATAAAATAAAGTTCTCTGCGTAATTAAGACGGAGGAGGAAGAAGGATAGTTATTTTATTTTCCTCCCCAAGGAAAATTTTAATTCGCACACGTGCACACTTCGGATCATGGATCTACGTGGTTCCAAATGTGTAGGCAATATGATGAAGTCTTTTCAATTTCGTTTTGGTTTTGTGCGACCTAGGTAACACTCGCAAAGGAACCTCTTTTATTTTTCCTTTTTTTTTTTTTCCAAGATGTGCCTAACCATTTTCCACTACCACTGCTGGAAAAAAAAAATAAAATAAAAACGACCTCCAGGTTTAGGTGTCCCCTTAGCGCTGGAGGAACCGCGTGTGTGTGTGGTGGTGAGTTCCGTGTTGAAGTAGAGGAGTGACGAGCGTGCTTCATAAGTGTTTCTTAGTCTTCCCCCCGTTGTCATTTCGGAACTTCGCCATCTTGCAATTTCGCAATTTTCGAATTTCACAATTTTGTAATTTTTTCTACATTATGTTTTTTTTTTTTTTCCTTTTTCCCTTTTCCCTTTTTTCCTTTTTTTTTTTTTTTTTCTTCTTTATTTTTTTTACCAACAACCTCCCTAGAGATCAAAACTTCCACTGCGGGAACAACCACAAACAATTCTCTTTAAGTGTGTAAGATCGTACGTCTAAGCGAACATCTTCCCATTAGCGCAGCTATGCACCTCTCAATTACAGCCAACTTGGCAATTTAGCCAAAAGGTCATCTCATTTGTCGATCCGCTTGTTTAGAACGTGGGGTTAGAGGATTCACGTTCGTGTTCTTCTGCATATTTTCCCATTTTTGTAATTTTTTTTTTTACCCAAGGGGAGAAAAACAGAGGAAAAGACTCTCGTTGCAGAAGGTGAAGAAAACACATACCGGCGTTGTAAAAGTGTGAACAGTGTTTCTATTCTTTTAACATTGCCGGTAGGTAATACGTCGAATTAGCTGTTTTTCTCCCCTTGAGGATTCTCACCCGTCCCCCTTTTGAAAAAGCAAAAATGAAGAGGCTCTTAGTTGTTGTGCTCTACTTGTTCGTCCTACAGAAACAGTTAGATGCAAAAAGTGGAAATCTGCGAAGTAGTGATGTCAAAGATGACAAAGTTGAAAAAAAAAAGAAATTAACGAGTGGATGGATCCCTTATTATTTACCCCCACAAGGGGAGGAGACTACACCAATTTCTCTCTTGGCATCTCTTCCAGAGAAGACTACCTTTAGAAAGTCAGCCAACATGAGAAAGGATGTGAAAGAAGAAGAGGAAGATGAAGAAAATTTGAGTAGTTTAATGCAATCAGGTGAAGAAAGCGATGTAGATTTTCAATTTGAGCTTCAAATAGTGGAAGGCGCAGACGACTCGACAGACGCGCAGATGGAGGGAGGATTCTCTCAAGCAAATTCTGTGCACACGCGAGTGGAAACTGGTGAGGTGGATGATTCGCAGCGGGGGGATGCTGTCCTCGAACAAGCTCAGGGGCATACGGCTGAACATGCAGCGGAATTAGTAGCAGAATGGGTGGGACAACCGGTGACTGCCCCCGCTTCTGGGGAACCACGAGCCGAAGATGATAAAAATGAAGAAGCGCCAGAGGAAGCACAACCCCTGCCTGTCCAAGAAACCAACGAAGTGTCAGTTGAAGAGGGGCAAGAAGAGACGCCTTCAGTGGCTAAGAAGGCCGTACATGAGAGTGCGCCTAGCCAACCTGCAGATGTTAGTGAGTCTAGCCAACCTGAAGATGTTAGTGTGCCTAACCAGTCAACAGATGCTACTGTGCCTGAGCTTAACGAAAGCAATGGCAGCGAAGTCGACACAGCGGAAGGAGCAAGCGCAAAAGAAAACTTTTACCATTCAGAGGAACATGAGGAGGAAGAAGAAGAGAAACAGGAACAAATGGAAGATGAAGAGTTCGAAAATGACTATGACAACGTGATGCACGAAGGAAATGATCACGAAGGAGAGACCTCTTCGAATGATGGTCCAACGTATTTGACCATAGGGGATACAGTAACCATGCTTGCCGTGCGAAACTTGTTAAGTGCTTTCAACTATGACTACGCAGTTATGGATTTCCTCACGAGTTTTAATCCTGACGTGATTAGTGCGTTCTACGTGGTTTGAAGAGGGGAAAGTTGCGGTGAAGTGCCTACATGGGTGGTTAAGCAGGTATGGAGATGAAGATATGGCTATTATAGAGGGAAACGCACACGCGCACTACCAAATACCCAACAGTGTTATCCAGACTCGTCACATGTGTCAGTTCACATTTAGAAATATATCCAATTATTTTGTTTTTTTTTTGTGCAATTTTTTTTCATTTTTAAAATTGTCGCTGCTGCTATGTATTATACGACCCACCCCAGTTGGGTGTGATTCTGGTTGGAAGTCCCAATTGGGATGTTTTCCCTGGAAAATCTCCTTTTAGATGTTCCTGAAAAAAACAGGAAATTTCCCCCTTTCAATCATCTTTAATAAGAGAAACATTTCATATTTTTTAATTTAAAAAAAAAAAGAAAAAATCAATTTTATAAAAGTAAAAATTACGCTAAAAGGCGCAATAGTCTGTATGCACTATTTTTTGTGAAATTGGGACGGAGGAAAAAAGTGAATGAAGGGCTAGCATGAGGGATGTCAGAATGGTACGTTCTTAAAGTCACCACTGCTGTGGTTTGAGGGGGAAAGCTATTTCGCTTCTTCAATCGTTCAGTTCATTCGTTTGCAACAGAGATTCCCATTATATAGTAAGAAGGATATGTAGAGTTCTTAAAAATGATGTTTTGCTTGTTGAGCTACTAAAAGGTACAGGGGTGAGGAGAAAAATAAGGAACATGTTGTGTTGTATTATGCCTTTTTTATGTGTAGAAGCTTCGAAGTGTCATGCGTCTATCCCCCTACGTGGTGTAAGATGCCACTTGATTCCTTGGAGGAGATAAAATTTGGGGAGTTCTCACGATAGATGGCAATAGTAACGCTAATAGTGGCGACATAATTGTCGCACTTCCACTCGTGACTGCAACCGTGGATGGTTGTGCTGTTTGGAAGAATCGCGTGTACCCTATTTTGTATGTATCTTCCCGATGTAATGCGCTGACGCGGGATCACTGACAGCCAGGGTGCTTCTGCGGCCCAATTGGGAGTGGAAATCCCTTCAGGCACGTTTCAGAGTCGACGGTTTTGTCAGAATGTGCAAAAGGTGGAAGGTACTGAGCTGCCTGAACAAGGTGAGTTCTCGCTCGTAAGAGATTTCGCATGACACGCCATAGTTATAGTTGCACTTATGCTTATATCGATGGTTATGTTTACATTTATAGTTATGGCTTTTTTTTTCCCCTCGCCATGGTTAGCACCAAAATGTCAACCCTCCTCCCGTAGAACCCTTTCAAAGGTACACCCTTGGACCCGCTTAACATTTTCATTCAGATGCACATAAAATACACATGGCAGTTCGCATATGACAATTACTGTTGGAGGACCTGTTCCGCGTAGATGTACATGGCAACTGAGAGGAAAAAAAAAAAAAAAAAAAAGAGTGGCTCTCTTTTGTGAAGGCCATTATTTTTAGCCACCCATAAAGGAGCCAAGCGAATATATTTGGCTGAACCGTAAAATTGTATCTCCACGATGTAGTACATTTTTTTCCCATTTTTCTATTTGGCTGTTTTTTAGTTCACCAAGTATGATTTGGAAACTTTTTTTTTTTTTTTTCTTTTTTGTTCTTTTTGTTAGCTAGCGGTTGGGTGATTTGCTTCTCGTTACCATAGCGTGGAAGTAATTTATTCTCTCTCACTCTGAGAAGAGCAGTAACATCATCTGTGTACGCCTCTGCCTTATGTTAGCATGACTTCCTAACATGTTCCACCTATGGGTAAAAAAAAAAAAAAAAAATTACCAAGACGGGAACCACTGAGGGTACTTGGAAAAAATGCTGTCGAGAATTCTTCGATGGAACAGAAATTCTTGCTGCTTGTCTTTTGTGCCCATGAGGGCCCCAGCGAAGAAAAAGAACGTACAGGAGAAGAAGAAGGACTCGTAAGTGCCGCCTCTTAGGTGCAGGATAGCGTGGTGCACATTTGTGTATAGGGCAACAGAGAAAAGCGCTTCGGTTATGTCTCCGTATAGATTTATAAGAGCTCATATGGATGCTTTGGGGTTAACTGGTGCGTCATTTTTGCCGACACCATCGCGTGGTCACGGCACACTATACGACGCCATCCGTTAACTCCTTCGTCACCGTTTCGTTACCCACCCCCTTAAGGGCTGAAGACAAAGACAAACTGTCCGAAACGAGGTACCTGCCGTACATCCCGCCCGCGTACGTTGCGGACACGGTCTCCTTTTTCAAGGACAAAAACAATGTGGACAATCTATTGTCCTTAATTTTTGGCCCCCAGAATTCGACAGAGTCGTATGAAGACAGAGTGGAGTACCAAAAGCGGTTCGAGGTGTATCAATTTCTGAAGCAGGTATGGGGAGGAGCAAGAGGATAAGCATAAACTTGTCACGTGTATTCCCTCTCCACCTGCACAGCATTCACGTCATCACCTTTACAAACCCCCGTGTTCACTAGTTTACTGTTCTGAATTATTTTTTTTTCTTTCCTGAAGATTAATTTCATAGAGAAAAAAGAGACATGCAAATGGAGAGGAAAAAAAAAAAAACACTTGCAATGGTCACACATATGCATAAGAGAGTACATGCCGGTGTATCCATCCCAGTAACATCCTCACTCTCCAAATAAACTGCGTCCATCTTAAAATTTCTTCACAGAAAGAGGAAGAGAAGTACGAAAGCCATTTATTAAAAATGAAAGAAAAGATATTCAAGGCAATAGAAAATTTACCCCAGGAATTATACGACGAGAGTATCCAAAGTGGTGAACAATTTGACCATAAAGAAATTCAGTTTGGTCTCAAGTACGAAAATGACATAGTGAAAGGTCTGAGTAACTACAGGCAGAAGTTGCTACATGTGTACAAGATCTTGCTTTATTTGCGGTTTCCTTTTTATTTGATTAAGAAAAAGAAACCCATGCTGTTTTATATAAGTGAAAGTAAGGCGGTCAGTCGACAAAAGCAAATTAATGCGCAAAGGAAAAAGTTAAAAAAGAAGTAGATCTCCAAGTGAAGAGGGTAAAACGAATACGGGGAGAACATGGGCTTGCATTCCTGGGTCCTATCTTATCGCGTCTTGTTTTCGCAACGGTGGGGAGACACTGTCCTGGCTGCCCTGGAAACCCACCTCCATGGAACTGAAGTAACCATCTTAAGCTTCTTCTTCATCGCTGTCGCTGTATTCCTTTTGAAGGGGAAAGGATTCGTTTGGAGAATCCCACATGCGCGGAAGTGTGTACGTGTGGAAAAAAAAATAATCCTACGTGTATATGTGTACATGCGTAAATTTTTTTTTTTTCGTTTTATTCTGTCCCGTTACCATATTGCTGATGAGCTTCTTTCTGAATAAGTACTCTTCCAGGTCCTTCGTTTTGAACGAGTCCTTATCTGTAAATGAAAATTAATTTTAGCAAGGATGTGCGTCGTGTGGTCGTGTGCGTTTGTTCGGGGACGATAATTTCCGAAAAAAAAATTTCTTTCCCCTTTTTTCTGAGCACTTCCAAAGTCTTCAAATCCAACGCAGGTTTTTAAGAGAACTCCGTCGATGAATAAACATAAACTGGGCAAAATTTTTATGTTTAACTTGTTCATAAAAAATAGACAATTTTTGGCTTCCACTCTGCAAAGGGGTAGGGGGGAGGAGCGAAATCCAATGGAGGGCGAGTACGTTTGCGGGGGTGCCAACGAGAAACCAATTTGGGAAGTACGTTTAGACCGTTTCTATGGTCAGGCGAATGCTACTGTGGTATTGCTATGCCGCTTTCCCCATCTGGCACTTTTCCGCTGCTTCGGTTTGGTTACTTGATAAATTTCGTGGCAAGGTGTATATTGGCCAGCTTGATCAAATGGACGTGTAAAATGTCGCAGCGCTTGAAGGAGTTGTCGTAAAAGTGGCAAACCTTGTGCGGAGGAGGGATGCGAACAATACAACAACATGTGAATACATAAGTATAGGTTTGTTAAATGGGAGAAAATGAAGCATCCGTTTGTGTACGAATATATACATACATGCTCCATTCGCACATTTTACCACGCTGCTGTTTTTAAGGACGGTGGGTATGAAGTCCTTTTCACATATTTCGAGGTAAACGCCGTCTTTCTTCAACTCCTGTTTTTTCTAGCAACAAAAGAAAAAAATGGATGGGTGCGGGGATCGCAGTGTGGGGAGGAACAATCGATTCTGTGGCGCACGTTCCGTGTGCACATCGTAACCACAGAATCGCCCCATTTTTGAAAAACTGCTTCCACGTACTTTAAGTTGCGTAAGTCGCTTCTCCCTCCATTTCCGGATTTCCTCCTCGTCGCTGTTTTCGTCTACTAAAGGGTTTCACGTTGAAATGTTTTTTTTTCTCTTTTTTGTCAATCCATTTTTACGATTGCTAAGTTGACAACTTGTTCGCTTCGACGAAGCAACGTGTACGCACTTTTGAATGCACATGTACGGATGGAAGTGAAAAACCACCCATAAGTGATTGGGTTGATGCATTAATGCACTAGCGCTAAGTAGCATTCTGCAGTCTTTCCACTGTGTTGCGCCTACCTCGGGGGAAAATTTCCGCTTCTTTTTCTCCATCGATCAACTGTGTGCGTTGCTCTTTGCTTCGATTTTTTTCATTTCCCAGTTTGTACTCATTCGTTAAGTTCTCTTTGGCCTTTTGCTGTAACATTGGGCGGTGCCACGTGGGGAAGGAAAAAGAAAAAAAAAAAGGGGAGCACATTAGTATTATAGGAGGCTCTTCCATCAGGTGGAACAACAGCGGGAGTGCAGTCACAGTGCACAGGAATACCCATACCTACATGCCCACATGTGAACACATGTGTGAAGATACAAACGCGCACGTTTGTCATTTTGCGCTGAGGTACAATATGTAGGCGAGAGTTTTTACCAGCGTAATGGCCGTGCATATATCAGACAGCTTATTTTTCGGAAGCATGTTTCAAGGGGGTTATTTGGCATTGATATTCGGTTTGGTAATAAAAAAACTGCTATGTACGTGTGTCCCCACAGTTGACTTCTTTTTCACAAATTACATGCTTTATTATTTATCATTGGAAAAAAAAGAAAAAAAATTGGTATTATGGGGAAAACTTTTTTAAGTTGCTTAATTATGTATCGGTTAATTTAAGCATGCATATATCTAAAACAATGGGGGGGGCTACTCTGTTACGTCAAGGGACATGTCATGTGGAAGGGTGATGGTGGTAGAGGCAGCCCTTCTTACAAATGCGTGGGCACGGCATATATACACAAAATAAAAATAACGTAAATGAAGGAGGGTAAAAAAAAAAAAAAAGAAAAAAAAGAAAAAAAAAAACGGCAGGGAATAGGCCCGGGGAGAAAATGTGTGACGTAAAAAAATGGGACAAAAAAAGTTAGGGCAGAGTGGGAAGCATAGGTGGCGGGGGAGGGGTCTACGTAAATCACCGAATAAACATGTACACGAATTTTTTTTTTTTTTTCACGCAACAAATTTCAGCTTCATATGATGTATTATGGATGACTTTTCAAAATAGCGAAAAAAAAAAAGAAAATTAATTCCGTTTAGGCAATAGGGATTACCATCATGCGAGCACATAGGGAGGGTATACGAAATATATCTCTCCTTGGCGGTGAAAATTCACGCAACGACTGCATTAATTCTGTAAACATCACAGTCGTATGAATAAATTTAAGCCGGTCGTGCCTTCTTAGGATTAATAAAATTTCTCCCCTTTATTATGCTTCATTTTTCTTCGTCCAAATGGCACTGGTGCTTACGTGACACCGTATGACATGTTACGACATGGTACGACATGGAACTATACATGCTGCTAGTACGCACCTCAGTGAATGGCGCCTCGGAAAATGCTTCATTTGGCAGGCCACACATGTAGGCTATCCCATGAACGCCTGCGCAAGTATACGTGTACTTTGCGTAGGTCCTGCGTAGACGCGGTTTTCCTTTCCGCTATGCAATGCAATTGCTAGGGCCGACTTCAAGGTCTGCCTGACGACCTTCTCCTTTCCTTTCCTCTTTATCTTTCCCCATGCGTTCTCCGCCTTCGTGCTCCTCATCTGTCAGAGCGATTGCTTTCAAACATGCGAAATTCAATTTGAATTAAAAAATGACAGGTGGCCATGAGAAGGGGGTAGGAGCCAAAAAGTGGGACACTGTCATCTGTTTTTTGGGCCTCTCATTTTATTTTTTTTCCGCCATTGGTGTTTTTCGTCCTCCAGTCTTCTATGGGGAAGGCCTAAAAGGAGGGCAAAAGATGGACAGTGTAAAATGGGCAGTGTAAAATGGGAAGCGCAAAATGGGCACTTCTTTTCGCGCAGTGCGCGTGCTGCCCCCAGCAGTTGTTAGTTAAACCCACCTGGAGCTTCGTGATACACTTTGTGATGTACTTGTTTATGAGTATCCCGATGATGAAAGAAAAAACCATTTGCGTGTAGTAGCCATCAATCAGAAGACACTTCCCTGATAGGAAAAGGAGACAAAATTGGGGTAAGTAATTCCATGTGTATTGTGTCTGGGTGTGTACGGAATTGGAGGGGCAACTTCGCAAGGAATAATGTAGCCCTCATTATGCACATCGTAAAAGGACATGAACATGTTTTTGTTTTGAAAAGGTACCTCCATAACACACTGTTCTGTCGGTATAATCCAGTAGCCACAGAAATATGGTTGACCACTAAAAAGGGGGGGGAGTGAAAAAAAAAAAAAAAGAAAAAAAAGAACACATGGAGTGGTGGTGGACGTGAAAAATGATCCCTCTGGATCGTTTTATAGACGAATCGACTATCGGTTTGATGCTTTTTTTTTATCTGCTGCCATTGCGGTGACCCTGATTGACTCTCCACTCATGCTTTATTATTTCTGTAGGTTACGTGCGATCCCATGTTGTTAACGGTGTTTAGAAAGGTCATGTAGGTTCCACCAATTTCGGGGTCTGAAATGATATTCTGGAAGCTCATCTGTTGGGGGGGGGGGGGAAGTACAAGTGTGGAATGGATCAAATGAGGGCATCTAATGACGCGGTGATATAAGCGCCTATGTACGGGGTGATGTACGCGAACACATCTTCCGCGTGGATGAATTTCTCACGAAAAGGGGTTCCCCCGGGGAGTGATGACACTCCCAGGGGAATTGTCCCTTTCCACCACAGTACAACACAATTTAGATACCCTTCGTGGAAAGCTCCTTACCGATGACACAGTCATGAGGTCAATACAAAAGTGGTTAAAAACCTGCGCCACGAAAATGTACAGGTAATACGAATACAAGTAAACCTGCGGGAGCTCCGACTTGTTTGAATATATATACTCCGTCAGGGGTAACAAGGTGGACAAAATAATGTTAGAAAGATATCTTAGTAAGTAACCGTAGTAGTATATACTAAGGGGTTTTATATTTTTGGTGATTTTTCCTATTATGGCTGATGATATGATTGATATAGGAATGAAAATTGGATTGAAGATCGCGAACTCTTCTTTGCTGATACCCTTCTTCAACATTTTGAAGTTGGTGCCCACCTCCACAGAGGCAAATGGGAAGCGGTTCAGCAGGAATATAAAAATGAATATTTTCATCGGTGGTAGGAACAGCAGTTGGTACAAGTTTTTATACGTATCCTTTGAGTTGGCGAATTCGTTTGAGCTTTCGTTGGGTTTGTCTGATTGACTGGGCTGGTGGTTGCCCTTTTTACCGGGGGCATTTTCCACCGCGCCATTATTCTTCTCCTTCCCATTATCGTCCATCATTTCTTTTTTAAAACAAGTTAATATGGTCAGCGCTAGAATGAATACTCCCCAGAATTTTAAAAAGATATTCATATCGACAAAGGGTTGAAAGGATGGGTATATCATGTCCATGCTTTCGTGCACATGTCTGTAGTGACTGGATTGGTTAAACATGGAGTGCATGCATTGTATGTACTTCCTAAAAATGTAGAAGCAGACGTTCTTATTGTTTAACGTCAGGAAGGACAGCTGTGAGACGCAGTAGCCAATGTTCTGTCCGAGTATGTTGCAGGTGGAGGCTAGTCTGCGGGGTGGAAGGAGGGGAAAAGAAAAAAAATAAAAAAGGGGGGTAGGCTTCTCTACAGAAGGTCTCTCATGAGGGACGTCTCTCTCGCTTTTCATCAGTGTGTGCTTTACGCAGAACGTGGAAGGATAAGAGGTCATTACATTACTCTTTCTCTGTTGTTCCACTCTCGCTGTGCATCTTCGGCGGTGCTTCCTTTCTTCTCTAGGTTGCGTTTACCCCCTGTTCTCCTCGGATAAAATGGTCAGCGCCCAGCCATCGACAGCTATATCCTGGGTAGCCATCAAAAAGAACAGAACGAAGAAGAAGGACGTCAGGAAGTACAGATTTGTCATGTTTCCCCTTTCCCCTAGCCACACGCTCACATGGTTCCCGCAGAAAATCATCGAAAAGCTGCAAATTAGCTGCGAATTGGAGGGAATTAAAAACGATGGGAGTTGTGTTTCGTCGTTTGGCAGATGTTTTATTTGTTCAATCGATGCTTCGTTCCTTGTGCTCCACACGGTCTTCGCTCCGCATGTTCGTCTATCCCCTTTGAAATACCTGAAGTGGGATTATCCAACTTTTCCTCCTCCCGATTTTTTTATGGTACACAGAATCGACAAGCGGGGCCCACAGCAGTTTTAAGCTGAGGGGGAATTAAAAATGTGAGTCAGAAAAATGAACAGCAGTAAGGTAGAAAAAGTATCGAAAACCAACATCGAAGCAGAACCCCCCACATACATATGGGAGGCATATTCCCAGGTGCAAAACTAAATATTTTGTTTCCTAACCTGAAGGGTATGGTGACTAGGGACAAGATACTCAACTGGGAGTAGCTCACTTTGTCTTGAATTATTAAGGGGACCACGGATGAGACACCGATTGGGACGCCTTAAAAAAGAGGAGGGAAGTGCGCACAGGTGTGTGTAGAAGTACATGCGTTGAGAGGTAACCACGTCGTTTACACGGGGAAGCATTATCGTGGACCAGGTAGTGTAGTGTCCTATTCAACGGATCCATGAATCCTACAATCCGCCGCGAAACAGTGTAGTCATGAAAGGCGGAGAGAAAAGATGGCTGCATTGCGTTTTGCGTTTTCCCGTCCCATGTGCCTTCGCATGCACCGACATATGCAGGTATTTATTTACATGTGGGTGCCAGCATAGGAGTGTGGAACATGCCGACGTTCTGACCCTCGCCGAACCACTGCTGATTAACAACAGGGCGACCGAGCACTTTTCCCAATTTTTCTCAATTTTTCCCGTTTTGCCAATTTTTCCCGTTCTTCTCAATTCTTCCCCTCACAATTGTGTCCACTATACAGGCGAGGTGGTGCGACACTTAGGCAATCCCTTCCTCGGGGGAAGAACATAATGCATGATTACCTTGTATAGTATATAGCAATAGTAAAAAAATAATATTGTAAAAGTCGTGGCCCTTGGTGGGGACCTTCACTTTGCCCTCATCCTTACAGTAGCTTCCTCCATCTTTTACTGCGCCATGTTTTTGCTTCCTATCTCTTAATACATTCGCATCAGTTTTGTCATGTACAATTTTGGTCATAATGGAAATTGTGTAATTATCTTGCGTTATTTTGCGAAAATATGGTAGGCTTCCCTGTGCGCGCTATAATTTGTGTGCTTGGTTTGCTTCTTATATACTTGCCGCTTTGGGAAACCTTTTAAAAACTGCTTATCCCTTGAATTGATTTTTTCCTTTCCTTTTCTGCCTAAGTATTTTGATTGTCCCTTAACTGGTTTATTTATTTATTTGTTTTTTTTTTTTTTTGTTTTTTTCTTCCTCCGTAAGAATGTCAGTTATTTTTTCCCCCCCCATTTTGGGTGCCTTTTAAAAAAAAAATAATTACACCTACATAATTGTGCTCTGAGTGCTTTCTTAAGTATTTTCCCATGTAAGTTTATTACGTACTTTCTATGTGTTTTTTCATGTATTATTTATGTATATCTGTACGTATTTTTTGTGTTCTTTTTTCTCATGGGAAAAAACATAGGCAGGAAAACGTTCGAATAAATGAAAAAGAGTAGGGGGAGGGGCTCGGTTAAAAATAGGCACCTGCACAAATGAGACCTTTGGCAACTTCATTTGAAGAGTAAAAAAAAATGAGCGCTTATTTTTTTTACTAACAACTCTTCGTGCCAATTTGTACATGTTAACGCTTTTTGCGAAGAATTGTTTTTGTTCTTTGAAGTTTTTGCTGACACCCCGAGCAGATGAGTCAGCTTACGCGGCAATGGGAACGTGTTAATTTCTGCCACGGGCCGAATGTATACATAGATACATATTTATGTCCATTTATTTACACGTGCGTGCACAGCGGCGGGAATACTTTTCCTCGTAGACAACCCCAGGCGGTGCTTCACCCCCTCCAGGTGCCGAGTTTACCAGGATGTGTGCCATTTGGGCACTACATATGTATAGGAAAACCTCCACGCGGCGCGTGTGCTATTCACAGCGGCTCTCTTTTTCCGAAACAAAAAAATGCTCCTTAAATAGTAGAAGCGTTTAAATGGGTAAGGAAAAAAAAAAAAAACGGAGGGTTTGGAAGTTTCAGTCTAATCAAGGGATGTAAAAGAAAGTGGGGCTAATTATAATAAACATTATGACACGTAAAAAAAAAAGAAAAAAAAAAGATTAAGCCGGGTTAAAAAATCGGGCTGTGGAATCCTCGGGCCCTGGGTGATCATTCTTCTGTATCTGACGGGGAAAAAATGGGGGTGCGGTTGGGAAGCGGTGTCAACGCGTGTAGAGAGCAACTACGGAGCGGTTAAGGGGGGGACCCGCCGATGGTAGGCATATCCACATCGTGTTACTTACTCCACATGGACAAGTTGTTGTTGTACCCCGTGTAATTATAATTCCGGTTGGAGTAGCTGTTCTGCTGCTGGTACTGCGTATTTTGGTAGTAATTCTGCAGGCCAGGTGGGGTCTGCAGGCCGTAGTTGAAGCTGTTGTAGTTGAAGAAGTTGTTCGTGTTGTCTCTCGTCCCGTTGTATCCGTTGCTGCTGTTGTAGTTCCTACGAACGTGAGGAGGGAGGATAGAATCGGGGGATGTATGTGGTTGAAAGAAAAGTGGGCTATATATGAAGCGGTGCAAAAACGCAGAGTGGGGGTGACCAATAGAATGGGCTAAACTGGGGGCGGTAAAAGGGCCCCTCTTTTCGTTCGCCTTTCACAGGATGTGGCTTAGAATTAGAAACGCCTTCCTTAACAACACGCTTCTCTCTTCCCTTACAAGTTGCTGGTGTAGTTGAAGTTGTTCTTGGTACTCCTATTATAATTGTAGTTCAAGCTGTAGTGGTTTAAATTTTTCTCGTTAATATTGTTCCAGTTGTTTCGGTAGGCCGCCACACTCGTGTTGGCATTTGTGGACGACACGTTGTTACCGAGGTAATTATTGTTCTGTTCCTTTTCTTGGGTCATGTTAAAACCGGGGGGGATATTATAATTATTGTTTGAGTTAACATTGTAGTAGCTGCTATTATGGTACAGCTGTTTGTTTAAGAAGTGGTTTTGATTGTTTTGGTTGTTTTGTGTTGCAACGTTCAGATTATTGGTTTCTACTTTTCTCGTGAGGGAGGAAGAGGTGGAGGAGGCAGTGTTTTGCGAGTTGTTTGGGCTGATTTGGTTTTGTGTGTACTGATTTATGGAGCTGTTATTATTATTATTTAGCAAGTTTTGCTGGTTCTGTTGTCCTGTGTGTTTACTTTGGCTGTGTTGATTGGACGTGTGCTGCTGTTGGGTGGTATTCAAACTGGAGCCAGTCTTACTTTGCTGGATCTGATTCTGCTTCAGGGATGAGATGGACTGTTGTTGCAGCTGCATATCGCTCATGTTTTTACTTATCTGTTGTTTATTCTTTAACTCGCTCGTGGCGCTCGTCGCGCACGACATGGTTAGGTTAGGGTTAACGCTACTATTCATGTTAATATTGTTCAGGGATAGATTGTTAATTCCGTTGTTGGTCGTTCCGTCGAGGCAGACGTTACTACCACCGTTGCTGTTGCTATTTTTGTTGCTGTTGTTGTTACTGTTGTTGTTGCTGCTGCTATTCGCGTTACCATTGTTGTTGCTGTTATTATTCACGTTGGGTGCGTTTTGGTTAGAGCTGTTCTGGTTCTCATGCGCTGGGTTCTGCGGCTGCTGCAGCGACCCAGATATGGACACCTCGCCAGAATTACTCAAATTATCGTCGTCCAAGTTATTTCCTTGATTCTTCTTTACATTCACGTTCATGTAGTTAACGTAGTTATTCATGTGCATATTGTTGTTGTGTGCATACAAATTGCTCTCATCGAAATTATCGTAATTCATATTGTAGTTAAAGTTATTGTTGTGCATGCTATTATTTTTTGTGTAGTGATTATTGATAAGTCCATACTGCGGCAGCAACGTCTGTGTGGAGTATCCATTATAGTGCATATTGTTATACGGGTAGGAGAGATTGGTGAATGAGTAATTAAACTGGTTGGCCAGCCCTGGGGGGGAGTTGTAAGAATTGTACATGTTATTGTTGCTGAGGTTGTTCATGCCCATGTTCATTAAACTGATGTTGCTGACATCTGTGTTGGTGTTTTTGTTCGACATGCTAGTGGCACCTGTGTTGCTGGCCCCGATGTTTGCGATGATGCTGGAGTTGGCCAAGTTGTTGCTGTTTCCGCCGTTTCCGTCATTTACGCCGTTTAGGCCGTTTCCATCGCTGTTACCGCTGTTACCGTTGGTATTACCGCTGCCGTTTGCGCCCGCCGTCCCAACGCCGCCGTGCAGAAACTTCTGTGAAATTTTATTCAGCTGTATCGAACCGGAGTCGTCCCCGTCAGAGTCGTAGTTCTTGCTATTCAGTGCGCTCTGCACGTACTTGGTGCCATTTCCACTCATCAGGGCGGAGGAGTTCTCCTGTGAGCCGTTCGTTCTCGGGGATTGATTCATGAAAACCGATGAGGAGCTGTTCAAGATGTCTTTCGCGTTCTGATTTCCATTGTTGACGTTGACATTACCACTATTGTTATGTATATGGTGGTGATGGTTGTTTGACGAGGAAGATGACATCGCTGTTGTCCCTGCAGCCACAGCAGCGGACGACGACGACGTTGTCGTTGTCATTTTGGGTAAATACAAATTCTGCGATTTAGTATGCACATGATGGGGGGCATGCTTACTGTTGGAAGATGAAAATATGGACTTGTGTTTGTTCTCATTAAGTATCTCGTTGTTATCTTCTCTCTTGTGGTTTCTGCTTTTAAAATCGAAGTGTTTAAATTCTCTTTCCTTTGATCCTCTAAAGTCGTTATTGTTGTGGTCGTAGTCTCTGTTGTCGTTTTCCTTGTGATGCATAGCAGAGGATCGGTTGTGATTGCCGCTGCCTAGGTGGTCGTTGTTAATACCCATGGAAGCCGAATCAATGCTGTAATTCTTCCTGAGGTTATTTTTTTTTCTGTTTTCGGTGTGCACCATTTTGTTGCTACTATTGTTATTACTACTGTTATTATATGCTCCGCTGTTGTAGTTGCTTCCCTGCGTGTTGTAGCTACTAAGACCGTGGTTGTAACTGGTGCTGCCTTGGTTGTGGAAGCCACCGGCGTGGGTGCCAAAACGACCGCTCGGCTCGCCGTACGCACCGCTATGTCCGTTGTTACCGCTACCGTTACCTCCCCTGTTATTCCTGATGTGCTCCAGTTTGCTATCTGGCATCATGTGAATGTCTTCGATTTGATTGCCAGTGATATTTATACTTCCGAAGAAAATTTTCTTGTTCATAGTGTTGTTCCCCATGAGCGCCAAGTTGGGCATGTATATAGGGATGCTTGTTTTTTCCTTTCCGTCGTAGCCCTTCGATTGGGTAAAGTCGTCTGACACGAGTTTCTCCGTACTGTATGTTAGGTTCAGGCTTCTATTATTGTTGCTGCTCACTTTGCTACCCCTGCCTCTTTTCATCTCGTGCACTGGGGAATCTGACGCGGTTTTTACCCTTGTGGAAATCTTACTGTCATTAATGGGGGCTGAGATCACATCCTGATCATTGCTTTTCTTCTTTTTCTTTTTCTTATCATCAGTGTCTAGCTTCGTTTCGCTGATTTTTTTGGCACTAGTGGGTTCTTTGTTGCTTACGTTGTTCATTTCGTTTGTGTATTTTTCCTTTTCCGTTTTGGTATGTTGATCTACAAATGGTTGTGCTCTGTTCGCTTCCACCTCGACGAACGACGATTTGTTGTTATTCCTCATGCTAGGCATGGGTTCATTTTTTCCATCCTTGCCGTAACTTAACTGAGTTCCTTTGCTATGGAGTGGTTCTTCTCCATCAGGCTGGTTTTCACCTTTCGAGCGAACTTTGCTCAAATGGTCCTTATTTTTGTAGCCTGAGTTATTGCTGCTACTTAGGTTGGTATCCTTTGCAGCGATGCCAGAAGGACACACATTATTGGAAATGCTTTCTATTTCCTTTTCTTTATCCTTCTCTTTTCCCTTTCCCTTTTTCTTCTGTTTTTCAGGCTTGCCACTCTGATCGGATGTCTTCTTGATGACCTGCTGCGAGGTCGATTCCGGCTTCAATTCTTTAGAACTGCTGAGGGCATTTTTCTTCGTGCCGGAAGGATCCACCTTTTCACCGACATCCTGAGAATTCGCAGGGTTACTGCTCGTGCTTACACTACCTTTCGTGATAACTGATACCCACAGCTTTTCTGGTTGATTATTCTTAATTGGGATTAATTGACATTTGTTTTTTTTTTTTTCTTTTTTTTCTTCCTTTACAAAGGTACTATCATTCGATATAATTTGCGTGTTCATCGTTCCCGTTCGTTTCACTTCGACGTTTTTCGCTTCTTCTAAGGGTGATGCTAATGACGATTGCTTCATTTTGCTGTTAACAACAGATGCGTAGGACGTGCTGGCCGTTGTCTTATCATTGCCCGTCTTTTTGGCAGTTTCAGTCGCCACCTTCTTCATAACATTGAGGTCGTTTTCGTTGTGTATACTACTCGACTGGTCATTGTTGTTCCCGGTATCGTCAGCTAGCTTTTCGCCGCTGTAAGCATCGTAATCGTGATCTATGCTGTTATTCTTACTAGTGTTTCTCTTGGATCTCAAACTGTTTTTGCTCAAATATGGTGGTGGTTTCAGTCCCCCTTTTGTATATGAGTTAAGATAACTATGATTTCCCCCACTGTTGTACACATCTGTGGATTTATTACTAAATGGGGGAAACCTCTGCTTCTCGTTTCTTGGGATTAGTGAATCGTTTAGGGGCTTGCCACTATATCTGTTGTAGTTTTTATTAAAATATTTATCATGACAGTTGAAGTTACTATACCTGTTGGCACTTGTAGCCATCGTCGTCGTTCCGAGACCGTTCGTGCCCACATTGGCGGGGTCTTGGTTACCACTCCCACTGTTCGTAGTGGTGGTGCCTGTGTCTGTGGAGGGGATGATGATTGCTCCCTTCCCCTTGGAATCCTTTTTAATCCTGTGCTCATCGATGGATTTGTATCCTCCGCCTGTTGCCGTGGATGCCGCTGCGGGTGGTGCTTTGCCGTCTTCCAACTTAACATATTTTTTTTTATCAAATTGGTTGTAATGACTATTAATATTGGGATTACTAACGCTGCTACTTCCAACGTTATTGTAACCGCTTTTTTTACCCTTTTTGTTCGAGTTATCTTCTCTACCTTTTGCAAAATGCTCTTCATTCACCACCCCGCCTGGTTCTTTAATTGCATTTTTTTTTCTCTTATTTGTGTCCCTTTCTTCTGGGGAATTATTATTCATGAAATCCTCATCGTAACTTTCATTCAAGCCTTTTCTTTTTTCTTCTTCCGATTTTAACGTTCCCTTCTTTTTGATACCCTCCTTGGACTTTTCCGCCGCATCGCGATTTGCTCCATCGTCTGCTGCTCTGGCTGCCGCAGTGGCCGCAGCGGTCGCAGCCGTGGTTGTTGTCGCAGATGCCGTTGCCGACGCTGCTACTGTTGATAACGATTTTATATTCACAAGTTTTCTTGTACTTTTGTCCACGTCCTGCTTCTCCTTCGATCCCCGCTCCTCAGGAATCTTTTTATTAATTTCATGTAATGTTGACGAGTTCTCACATTTTGCACGGTTACTTACAATGTGCGTTGCTTTATGGTTACTCGAAGTGAAGGGCTTATTACTATATTGGCCAACTGCAAAGGAGGAATCTGTTATGATCGTTTTATTTCTCCGAGGATCCTTTTCCTTTAATCTTAACCCTTTGGGAAATATTTTACCAATTTGTTTATTGTCTTTTCTCCCCGAGGTGCCCTGCAAGGAATTATTATTTTTGCTATTCTTTTCGACTGGTTTCTTATTTTTTTTACTTTTGACAGTTTCCCACAGCCCTTCGTTATTTTCTTCTCTAGACTCCATAATGTTGCATAATTCCAGCTGAATTTTCTCTATGTCAAATTTGTATAAACTGATAAAGTTGTACACATCCTCCTTATTATATCCATAATAGTCCAGGATGGGGGAAATTATATCAATTAATTTTTCTGTTCTGGGGGAGTAGCAAGATTTTTCTTCTATCTTCTTTTTGGAGAGTGAACTCCATTTACTTTTGCTTAAATTTTTTATAGTTAGAACCATTGTTTCGTTCGTAGATGATTTTTCCATTGTTTGAATTAGTTAATATATTGCATATTCTTTTTTTTTATTTTATTTTGTTTTATTCTTTTTCCTTTCCTATTTGGTATGCGTGTTAAATAAATGCAATAGCGAGTGTAAAAGTACAACTTCTCACACGTGATTGCGAATGTACATCTGTATAAGTATATAATCACTTCTGCGTGTATATGTACTTATATTCGCACTTATTGGTCCCAATAGGGGGGAGGTACATAAATGTTACATGACGTGAAGGCAATTTTTTCTGCAAAATGATTCACTCGTGTGGATGTATATATGTGTATACACAGCGAGGGGTACAAAACATTTACATGCAAGATGATATGCTTTGCAACTTCTCTGTGCTTCCATACGCTCCGTGCATATTTTCCTCATAGGCTTCTATTTTGTTTTACAATTATTCAAAATAGAGCTATGTATACATTTAAATGAATTATGATTACGACATGAAGCGACGGTGGGGGGTATCATCCATTTAAGGGGAAAAAAGAAACTTAAATGTAAAAAAAAAAAAAAACTGCCTAAGCGTGATGTTATATGGGGGTGAAATAAATCTCACTAAGTATAAACCGTGTTGTCTTCTCTCACTTGTCGTTAAATCTAGACACGCGCATCTGTATTTACAAGTGTTCACGTTTTGTTCCAACTGAACTTTTTTGTGAATTCACATTAATTCGACGTTTACGTGTACTGTTATTCTCAGCACGTGTATACATCTGCACTTCTATGTATATGCGTCAAAAACATATATATGCGCACGCGTAAGGTGCGTATGTAATGACTATAATTCTTCTTCCCTCTTAGCTTCTCCACGTGAGGAAATGGGAACAGAGAACACTGTACATAGCGCAAAGGTAAGAAGGTTTAAATTCTTTCACAGGTGGCGAGTACGAAGCAGTCGATTTTGCAGTAGTGTTAACTTTCAATTTTAAAAGTAAAATTTTACAGGAAAAAAAAGGGGGGAGGCACATTCACCACATATATATTTATATACGTATAAATATACCTATATAGGTATATATGCATATATATTATATGTACAAAATTGTGCATGTATATACATATATCATGATATATGTGTTTTCTTGCTTGCGCATATATGCTTAAATGCATGAACACGTAACACGCGAAGTAGTGAAACTATCGATTTATTGTATACGTATAAGATTGAATTAAAATATAATCCAATGGTTTAATATAGAAACAAGTGTTAAAAAAAAAAAGCAGTTATAGGTATATGTATAATATTTGTGTACATAAATTGACTATTTCGTGAACATCTTCAAAACGATAACAACTTAATTGCAGCAAACGGTGAGGAAGAGCTCGCGTATGTGTACATGTACGCAATGCATAAAGGTACGTGGCTTAAGATCACATAAATGTTTTCGTAAAAAGTATATATATTACATGTGTAAACGCTTATATATACGCACTTATGTATACATTTAAATACATTTAAATCATGGTCCAGTTTTACGTCATCAAATCAAGAAAGCTCAATTTTAGAAATGACACTACACCGCAATTCTTGTAAACACAAAAGCATGACTGCTTTTTTCCCTTTGGTAAAATAATGTTGATATATAACGCACAAGGTTATATGAGAATGCTTGCCGCAAACATGCGTATGAGTAAGAAAATGCGTATACGTAGATATACATATATATACATATACGCATAACTTATACATGCATATATGCCATACTTTTGCGTTATATTATTATACATAAACAAGAATTTAGAGTTCAAAAAATGTTATGTCGTGTTATGTAGCTGTAAAATGAAAATAATTATAAAAAATGGCATATATACGTATGTATAATTATATATATATATACATATTATATGCATATATGTGATTAAACAAGTATATATTCATATGTACAATTTGGTAAAAAAAGCTCTTTTCTTTTTTTGGTTAAATCCATGCTGATTCTTTTTTCCTTTAAACATATTCATAGATATACTGTATGCTGTATGTAATTTTTTTCCTTTTTCTTATTTCTTATTTATATAATTTTTTTACTTCATTTTTTTTAATTAAAATTTGCATATAATTTTTTGTACGTCAAAATTTTTTTTTATTTACCTGGAGGGTTTTTTTTTTGCATGAATGAATATGAAAGATTTTGGATGGAGGAATAATTTTAGGGGGGGCATAAAACTATACATGTATGTACCGCATATATTTCTGTATTCCTGTGCGATAAGCGTATCCTTTAATGCAGTAATTATACTGATATATTATATTCCTGCATAATATTCTATACATGCCCGTTATGTAATTTTTGTGCTTGTTGGACATACATAATGTAGTACAATCTATTTATATACTTAACGGCGCGCTAGTAAAAATGAGCGAACAAGCCAGTGTATATAATACTATGTTACAACTATATATATTGTTATATGTTCATTGTACATGGGTATGTATTTCTGAAAAGGTTCTGTGTTTGCATATTTATTGAAGGCACGATGACTCGCTTTTATTCTTCCCTTTCTGGGGTTTCTGTAAAATCATACGGCATATTTCTCATTCGTAAAATTATATAGAGATCCCAAAAAAAAAATAAATTGAAATGCAAGCGTCCTTTTTTTCCCAGGAATTGCATATAATGTAAAAAAATACCAGTGGCCGGTGGGCGTGCATACGGATTTTTTATTTTTCTCCTAAGAAAAGGTTCTTTGGGGACTTGGCAGATTCTGAAGAGAAAGGGCGGTAACTTCCTTTAGTCGTTTTCCTTGGTTTAATAGTTTTCTTTTGTTTAGTCCTTCACACAGTTTACGTGTTTTATTTGGCTTAATAGTTTCATTTTGCTTAATCTTTTACTCAGATTAGTCGCTTTGCGTGGCTTAATGGTTCTCTTCGCTTAATCTTTTACGCAGTTTAGTTGTTTTCTTCTGTTTTGGATTTTTCTTTCATTCGGTTTTACCCCTTTATTTGTTGCTTAAATAACCATGCAAAATAATGCCCAATTTATGTTTTTGCTTTAGGAATTTTTTTCCTTTTTTTTTCTCTTTGCGCTTGGGAATTTTCTGGGTTTTTTCTTTTTTTTTTAAAGCCGCCTAGCAATATTTTTAGTGTCCCAATTTTAGAGAAAAAAAGATTTCCTTGGTAAGAATCCTCTGGGACGCCTTTCGTACATGACAATTTAACGTTGCATTTTACCGTTCCACGCATTGTTTTATTATAGAGCATTGGAAGAAAACAAAACATCATAACAGGAAATTTGTACAGATGTATGCATAAACTTATAAACATACCATTCTTATTTCGTAAAAGTGCTTCCTGTTCGGGTAACCGACAACTTTTCCATTCAGCCATATACCTTTTTTATGAAATAGTGTTTGCCCAACCTCTGGGCATGCTAGCACATGGTTAGACACATGCCTTATGTCCGAATAAGTACAGTGTGATTGGTAGAAAAGCGACAAATATGCGTACTTCCTTTTTTAATAAGCGATATTGGGTATACGTAAATTTGTCGCTGCCAAAGTGGAAGAGAAAAATTATTACCTGTTCAAGAGAAAAGCCAAAAAAGGGGCACATTTTATCAACAACATATAAGAAAAAAAAAAAAAACACACACACAGTTTAAGTAAATTTTTTGCTAGCATAAAAAGTTGCACATTGTCATTCAGCGCCAAGAAAAAGCTGCTTTATGCCTTCGTGGTGAAAATTGTCCAAATGTGTATCCGTAAAAGGGGGAAAATATGTGTCTCCTGAAAGAGGTATTTTTTTACCTAATGTGCTAAATTACAAAAATTTAAGAAAAGATTTACTGGTGCAGAGCTTTCTTGGCCCTCGCACACTTATTTGCAAGCGTTCGCCTTTCCTTTGTTTGGTTTTGCGAAAAATGACCATTCAAGGGGTTGTCTGCTCACAGCACCACTTCATATGCATAGGCGTTATACCCCAATGTTCACTTTGAACGAGCACATGAGTGTTTGAATTTTCATATAATACAGTTCACCAGTTATTAAGCGTGTTATTTTTTATGGCGAACAAAAATAACTCTCCCACGTGAATATGCCGTGTCCCATGTTTCTTTCTCCACGTCCACATTAAGTTAAGAAGGCGCACATAACTGAATTTTCACGAAAAGCAAAGCCTCCGCATTTTATGTGCCACATGGCAAAAAGGGAAAGCAATGGTGCGCATATTTTCAGATACGCGAACGTGTAGGGGCCGTAAGGGGTGGAGAAAAGAACGAAATGGAAAAAGCTTTATGTACGTTTCGCACTTGCACATTTTAAGCAGTTGTTAAGAAAGAAAACTATCATTCCTCGTTTTAAGCACCCTTCTTGCATAAAGAAGAAAAAAAAAGTTCCCTTTTCCGGTTATCATCAGGGGTTGATTTCTGTTCTCGGGCTTTTGAAGTGCAGAATAATGCACAAGAAAAAGAATGTAAATTAAAAAAAAAAAAATAAAATAAAAAGGAGGCAATAAAAAAGAGAGAAGCGGCAGGAAAATCCTAACCCTCGAAATGGAGCACACATAAATATTTATCTGCACTTTTTGCCGTTCGATTTGAAATGGTCAGATGTATTTATGCGTATACACATTTGCGAACAGAAAAATGCATGCTACTCCGGTTCGGTTTCTTCGAGTTTCACGTTTTTTCCGGTAAAAAGACCGTGCCGTGCACATATCTTACGCCTTTTGTAAAACCTTTTTTTTTTCTCTCTCCCTCTGACCGTAAAATGAGCACACTTACTAAAACATATAAAATTTGTTTGCGGGGGAATAATTATCAACGTGAACGTAGTCCATCGTGTTTGTGAGCAGAGACGTAAGTGACACATTTAAGAGCAAAAACCGCATGTCGTATGCCATCTTTTGCATCGCTTAAAATCCTTCAAAAGCACATCGTAAAACATGAATATAACGGAAAAACCGACAGCGTTCTTCGTGTGCAAGTTTTTGTTCTTTTACTACATTTATAGAAAGCCGTCCATTCCGTTTGACTCATTGGTACTGTAGAAGCCCCCAAAGGAAAAAAATTAAAAAATGCTGATGTGTATTGGCATGCGTATCTTTATATGTATATGTACATGCGCTGGAACGTATTCAGGGGGAACATACCAGAAAATATTTGCGCAAATGCTTTGTAACGTTTCCTTTTTTACGCATCGTTGCTGCTCTTATCATATATGTATTTCCCCCTTTTCGTGATAGGTGTGCAAAATAAACAATAGAAAGATTCCCCATACGTGTGTCATTCAAATATTAGGTCTAAGTTATTACGGGCAGAGCGTTTGCCTGTACGTGCACGACGTAAGTTCCTACGGGAGAAAGAGGCAAACCTGTACGGGCGTGTATGGACGTGCACAAACATGTGAGTAAAACCCTAATGCACCCTCATGTTGCGCCTTTTATGCACATCTTTCAGTTCTTCCCATTCTTTTACGTTTTAATACCCCCGGAAGAAAAATCAAGTAATCAATTTTGAGAAGAAAAAAAATAAAAATTTCATCATGTTCAGCATGGAAAGCTAATAAGGGAGCCACTTTCTCCACTAAGCTGCTTTCTTCCCTTTTTCTACGCATGTATATATCCGTCTCCCTCAGTAAAATATACACATGTAAGCGTCCCTGTGAACACATCCCTGTGTGATGAAATCTCCTTTACCCTGTCAGACAAAAATCTGGAGCTCCAACTATGCCAATTTTTAGAAGAACAATATGGCAAGGCAAAACAGGACAAGACGCAAAATGTGTATATATACAACATCGAAAGGGTAAAAAAAAAATGCATTTATGGTTACAAGGAAGAGCCAGAAGAGTTTTTAAAAATATACTTCCTATACCCCCACACAATTGTCTATTTCGCCAGTTTACTCAAAAAGAAGTTATTTAAAAATCGAATTTGGGAACTCTACGAGGTGCACATCAGCTACATGCTCCACTTTCTGTGCAGCAAAAATATTTATGGCTGTTCAGAAATTTATGTTGATAAAAATATTTTTTTTCGAAGAGAGTTTTTCAGCGAGATAAATTTTGAATGCTTTAAGAAAGAAGAAAAATGGAATGTGAAAAATAAATGCGACATGGAATGTATACAGAGGAACAAATACTTAGATGTGAATGCTCCAATATTTTTTACAGACAAGACGACAAATGTTAATTTTTCCAGTTTAAGAAGAGGAACCTCGTACGACATCGAGTGTGACATACGACATGAACATATTTTGAATCACCGAATTTATTCCTATGAATTTGAAAAATATCGGAAAAAATGGAAGGACGAATTGAACTTTGATTTACCTATCAATTATTTGGACTCCTTTGCGAAACTATGGATGAAGGAGAAGAAAAGGTGCCAAAGGGTGAACCCCCATTTGGTGAAGGACATTTTTAATTTTGACCATTTTGAAAAGGAGCTGAACCTTGGCTCGTTTGATGTGCTGACCGACAGGACGAAGAAACTCTTTGCCGATTTTTTAAAGTCGCTGGGGGGGAGCGACCCGGTGAACGGGGTTAACGGCGAGGAGAAACAGGTTAAAAGCCAGGCTAAATCGGCTTGCGAAGAGGAGAGACAGGTTAGCAGCCAGAATAAATCGGCTTGCGGCGATCCAAAGGGAGCAGAAAAACGCAACTGGTATCCACATAGGGAAAACCCCCCCAGTAAAGAAGCAACCAAAATGACGCAGGAAAAGAAGCTTGACGAGGTGAGGCGAAAACACATAGCTTCATTCGAAATTAACAATAAGAGCAAAGACGTCATTAGGTATGTTTATACGAAGAAGCCACCGAAGATAAGGGAGTGCTACGCGATTTTGAACAATCTGAATGGCACAGAAAGGAGGGGGGAATCTGAAGATGGCAAGAAAGAGGGTGCAGTAATAATTAACCAGACAAACCCGAAAGGTGTAAGAAAAAATTGCCAAAAGGGAACAGTCCAGGAGAATCACCCCCTCACCGCATCAAACGGGAAGACGCACCAAAAGGAGGAAAAGAAAAAAAAAATGAACATCAAGTACGGAAATATACTCTTCCTTGAGATTCTCACAGAAGTGAAAGGCGAAAATCACAACTCTTCCAACTATAGGGAGGACGAAATAAAGGCCATATTTTATCTGGTCAGAGATGAGAGACTTATGAATTACTACGAAGAGTATAGTAACTGTATGGGTGTAATAGCTAGCCAGCCATTCCCTGATATTTTCCCCTACTTGTTGAGCAAGCAGGTAGAAACAAGGCCAAAAGGGAAACTCCTCCCAGCGGTTGAAATGTGCAGCGATGGTGCGTATATTCATAGGGACCTGTTTGAGGCGCAACCTGGAGGGGAAGCCCCCTGTGGAGGGGAGAACACGGAAGGGAAGAAAGATGCCCAACAACAACAGGAGGAAGAAAAAAAAAGGGGACTTCATTTCGACGTAAACTACCATAGTGTCAACATCCACATTGCGCAAAATGAAAGAGATCTTATAAAAAAGTTTATCGATAAAATTAATTTTTACTCTCCACTAAGTATAGTTTCGTATGAAAACGACAAGTACAATGTTAGCTACATAAATCAGAGGTGTCTGGCACTAGACATGGGTAGTTTTTACACACACATTAGCAATCTAAATGATCAGAGAGAATTCACAGAGCTCAATAATATGTATAATAAAAATATAAAAGGTAGACTTATCGAGAGCTTGTATAAATTGTCAAGCGCTTCAAACACATCTTTTGAAAATTTGTGCAAGCATTATTTGAATGTGAATGTGCCCTCCATAAGTAAGTACACTTTGTACTGCTGGTACAGCTACGAAGGCAGGGAATCACGAAATGATGGCAGAGGTGCTGGGGAGAGTGGTCGTGGAGGCGGTCTTGTGACCAACGGTGTGATCGGTGGAGAGCCCCCTTTTTACCCATACAGGCACCTAACCGTGCGGTACCATCTGAAGAAGATTATCTTGCTCGTACTTATATATGACAAAATTGGGTACTTGAAAAGGAAGATGAATTTTTGCAAGTACATTCACGTAGATTTTTTGTCGCTAATAAACAGAGGAGCACAATTTATCGTCGAGTCCTTTCTCTTGAAAATGTCCATGCGGCATGGCTTCCTTTTGTACTCTCCCTCAAACAAGGAGATAATGGAGCAAAGACCTATTTTGCAAATCCCTTTGGTGCTGCAGCCGAAGAGCTCCATAAACTTTTTTCCCCTGTTGGTGTTCGATTTCCAATCCCTTTACCCCTCCATTGTAATTGCGTTTAACATTTGTTACTCCACCTGCTTGGGAACGCTGTCCTTCAAGAGAAGGTCCGATGCGCAAACCTCCGAAGAGCATCAGCAGGCGCGGCAGAAGCGGGTAGAGGTTTCCTTGAGGAGGAGATTCTCCGCGGACAGTGTCCTGGAAAAGAGCGAGTCGCCCCGCTCCAGTGGTGTCAGCTCGTCCGGCGACTCTCTTGATGGCTTGGATGTCCAGAGGGTGGACGAGTTGACTGACCCTTTGGATAACTGGAATGGGGCGTCTAGCCACGTGGGAGATAACACAGACGATGGATCAATCGAAGGGGGTGGCGAATGCTTCCAAGAAGTGTCCCCCAAGTGTGAGCCTTCTTTGAAGGAATCATGGAGCACCTCTAATGGAGGGCCCGAACCCGGGGACGTTATTCCCCCTTCGGACTGCCCTGAGTCAAGCCCCCCAAGTGACGAGAAAATTCCTGTGCGAAGAGAAAACCTCCCCAATTGTGAATTCATAAGACTAGGAGTATGGAAGAACCCACCCAATGTAAATAAGTTGGTGAAAAAGTTAAGAGGGGATGATGTGCTCATAACAAGCAACAACACTGTATACGTGAAGAAGAAGAAGAGGAAAGGAATCTTCACTCTTTTCATGGAAGACATATTAAAGACAAGAATAATGCTGAGGAGGTGTATTCAAATTCATGATCAGAAAACAGGAAAAAGGTTATTAGAAAGAATGGGGAAATTAAAAAAGATATTAAACGAAGGAACAGGTTATATAGGAGCTAACTTCTCAGGGAGGATGCCATGTGTGGACGTATCAGAGAGTATCATTTGTACTGCAAAGAATTTCCTTCTTTACGTCATAGAATATATAAAGGAAAATTATCAGTATGTTAAAGTTCTCTATGGAGACACAGATTCTTTATTTTTGTTAAACGAAATGAACGACATTAGCTACACTTTTAGGATAGCTCACGACATTTTGAAAGACGTGAATGGCATTTTGCCTTCTCCCATGTATTTAAATTTTGAAAAAATTTATTGCCCCTCCCTTCTGATGACTAAAAAGAGGTACTTCGGATTTGCTTACGAAAAGGAGAGTGATGAGAAGCCTACCCTGCAGCTCAAAGGGGTGGAGAGCATAAGATCAGATCAGTGCAATTTAGTGAAGAATGTGCTTCTGCAGATATATTTTATGTTTTACTATTTCAGAAATTGTTGCCACTTGTCCTATTGCTGCTGCTGTTGTGCCATGTGTAGGAACTTTTTCCCCAATTTTGTGTGCTACTGTAAGGAGTTGAACGTGCATAGGACGTCGCCATGCTTCTTGGCGGAGATGGTGGAGGCGATTCTGCGCGTCTATGAAAAGGTAGCGAGTGGGGAGAAGAAAGCGAACGGGGTGAAGGAAGCAAGTGGGGTGAAGGAGGCACGTCGGGAGATGGAATCGAACGGGGAGAAGGAAGCGAATGGGGGGGAATCTCAGACCGAGGAGCGCAAAACTAAGTTATACGACCATCTCATAGGACTAATAAACAGCGAGAGGAATAATATCATCCTCAAAGTCATAAATTACTTATACAAAGCGAAGTTCGCCTTTCTGTGGCACATATTTACCCACTTCCACGTGTCCCTTTTTAAGAAGAAAATAGAAAAAATTATCGAACAGGATTATGAAAAGATTATTAACCAGACAAATGACTGCTGTGTTATGAACCCAAACAATATAACAAAAATTTGTCTTTGTGTGAGAGAAATAAATGCAAAGAAGAAATGCGATATGGAAAAATGCTTCTGTAATGTTAAGCAAGCTCTCTTGTTCTTCTCTCCCAATGGAGTTGGCCAAAGTGAGACGGGCGCTGTCTTTGGCATGAAAGTATTCTACTCCCACCTGACGATAAACATAAAGAGAGTGCTATGTGATTTATTTAATAGAATATATGAGCATAAAATTTCGTATGGGAATTTTATTATATACAAGCAAGTGAGATTGGGGACGTACAAGGGAGAATTGGAGGGGAACAAAAGGAAAGTGCCCTTGCCGCCTCAAGCAATTGTGGCGAAGAAGCTTTTAAAAATGAATCCCCACTTGGTCATCAGTTATAAGGAGAATATTCCTTTTGTGGTAGCGAAAAAGTTGAAGGATGATAATATTTACGACTCCGTTGCGCATCCTTCCTGCATCAGGGGTATTTACAATTGTATTAGGGGTGTTCCCACAGTGGACAGGAAAACCGGGAAACGGAACCTTCGAGAGGGTTTATCCCCTCCCTCGAAGGGAAACCAACTCGTGCGTAGCGAGATCCCCCAAAATAATCAAACGAAACTGAAGGAAATAGACTTTGACTATTATATTCAGCACTTAGTTATTCCCCCGTTGAAGAGAATGCTGGATTTGCTCCCCTACGGCTCGCCCAATCTGGAGGAGATTTTTTACACAACGAGGAGGAAGTACAGCTGGGGAAAGGCCAAGATTGAACTGTTCACGAGGAATGCGGAACAGCTTGACAGAAATCGGTTAAAAGGAAATGATCTGTTCAGGGTGGGAGGGGACATATCGTTGGGGTGGAAAAGGGTCGAAAACAGAAGGAGGCATGGTGAGCCGCTCCTCCCCCGCGAACCTCACCTTCAGAACATAACAAACTGTAAAGTAAAAACGGGCGACGTAAAAGACGCCAAGGCAAGAGCACAAATAATTCAAAGTTATGCGGACGTGAAAAGGTCAGAGAATATGGTCAAGCGCTTGAACAAAATATGTGCTCATTGTGCAAACTCCCAAGTGGAGGCGTCGGCGTGCCAATACGCGGTGCACTGTGATGTGTTTTTTAAAAAAGTCATTCTGCAAGAGCGCATTTCAGAGGGGAAGGATGCGATAAGGGGGTTGATGAGGGAGAGTTTCCCCTGGGGGGGGTGAGTCATCTGGATCGGTGCCGCTGCTAGGATCATGAGTGTTTCCCACGTTTCTCGTTTTTGCTCCGTTTTCCCTTTGAAATAGCCTGCGTGGGTGAACGCTGTCTTGATTTTGAGCAGATTGTAATCGAGAGTAGCATTTTTTACTTCCCCATTTGGTACGTGGCTGCCATGTGTACGTACAGGTGTAGAGATATTATCTTACCTTATCTTATCTTATGCTATGCTGTGCACGTTCATATGCGCTTCTCTGTAATGCATGCTGTGTGCCTCCTTTCTTCCCTTTGGGGGAGAAACAAACGACAGGTGTAGGCCGTCGGCATGGGGCAATTTCAGCACACGGATGATCGTCCATGTGTGTGTGTGCACTTGTTCGCAGTTTATGCAGCCAAACAGGGTTGGCAGAGGTAAAGCAAATTGGACGAGTTGTTAATATTTTTTGTAAAGGTGACCAGGGAATATTCGTCTGGCGCGTTGACGAACCCCTCCTCCTTGGAGACCTTACACCCATAATTAATGAGGGTGAACAAGTCATTGTTTTGAGAGTCGGTTAATTTAGAGATGTACGGATAGACTCCCCAAGTGAGTTGCAGTTTCCTAGCTAAGGCAACATTCTCTGTGATGACAATGATGGGTGCCTTTGTTCGCAGATTGCTGAGCTTTTGGATTTTTTGAAATTCATTCGAAAATAAAATGATAGACTTCAAATTTATGTTATTGCTTAGATCCCTTATGCTGTAAATAAGTTTCTCAAAGTGGGAATTTCCACCGGGGTAGGTGGGACTCATACCATGTGGACACTTGACGATATTATTATTTTTCCTTTGCGTGTAGTCGTAATAGTAGTAATCATTTTCTACGTCTTTGATTATGCTGTTTTGTGTGGAGGTCGTGAGGATGGGATATTGCCCGGTGGCTGTTTCCGCTGAGAGCATGACGCAGTCAGATCCATCGTAGAGCGCCGTTGCAACATCCGCCACTTCTGCTCGGGTGGGGGAGGGCAAGAATCTCATACTTTCCATCATCTGCGTTGCTACGATGACGGGTTTGTTATATTTGAGTCTGCACAGATTGATCATTTTTTTCTGTAAAATTGGTAAGTTAGACAAGTTGGTTTCAATTCCGAGGTCGCCTCTGGCAATCATGATTGCGTCGGAGAGGTTAATAATGCTTTCTATGTTTTTCACAGCCGAGGGTTTTTCAATTTTGGAGACAATAAATATGCTGTTCACATGGTCACTGGATGTGGAAGGAGCGGTGTCAGCATTCATCTGAGTAATCTCCGTGTCACCATCGTACCCAATATTTTGGTATCCACCAACGTTTTCAAGCTGATTTTCCGCATTGTTAGCATCTACCTGCAAGTCCTGATTTTTGTACACATCGTAAATCTGTTTATACTTTTGACAGTTTTTCAAGTAATAATGTTGGTAGTAGTCATCCACCTCTTTTATGTAGAAATCGTTGTCATCATCGTATTCCTTCATTGGAAGCATATTCTCGTCGTAAATAAGTCTATCTTTTCTTATCTTGTTTTGAAAAAAATCGCTATCATAGTAATCCTTGATAATACTTTTTAAAAAAATTAAATCATACTTTGTTTGAACAAAGGAATAACCTAAAAAGTCTACCCCTTCGTTAATACAAAACAATATGTCTTTAATATCTTTTTCATTTAACACTTCAATTGGCATTATCATATTAGGAATACAGAAGCCCTTCTTGCCGTAAAGTTTTCCCCCTGTAATTACCTCTACTTTTAGGGAGCTATTTTGCATTTCCGATTCGTCGAACTGATTTTCTATGACCTTCATTTTTAGGTTCCCATCATCTAGTAATATCATTTGTCCAGACCTTACATTTTTTAACAACTCCGGATAGTTGAGTTGCACCCTCTTTTGATTGCCAGGTTTGTCTACCAAGTCGAAGGAAAAAAGATCTCCTTCTTTCAATTCGACGAAGGTATTTTTCTCCATAGCATTTTTTTCACTTTTTTCAAATTCACCTATTCGTATTTTTGGCCCTTGGATATCTCCTAAAATACCAATTGAAGTATCATATTTTTTTTCTATAATTCGGAGGGAATTTATGATGTATTTTTTAATGCTTTTCAAACCATGGGAGAAATTTAACCTGAAAACGTCAATTCCGCTAAGGTAGAGCTTTTCCAGTTCCTCAAATTTTTCCGTTGCAGGCCCAACCGTAGCTATTTGTTTGGTCTTTGTGAATGACATTTTGTCCTTTTTGCTTAGCCTGCTCATGTCCGCTTTGTTTGAAATTTTTAGGCCATTTGTTTGCCTTTGGACTTGTATGTTTTTTTTTCTTCTTCTCATCTGTTTGGTTATGTGTGGGTTGCTAAGAAATAGTTGCCCTCCCGAGCAGCACCTCTGAATGTTCGCTCTGCTAAACGGGGCGTTGGCCCCTTTGCATTTCACCATTCCTTCCACGAGTAGTGTGGCCAAGTGGGCGACGATAAGGAATCGCTTTGGCTTCATTATGTTCTTTTTGCTTCTACCTTGGAGTGTGTACGTCTAGATGTCGGTGGGTCACTCCTATGTGGTACAGTGTACTACGTGGCTTCTTCGAAGCCGAGGGGGGATAGACTGTTCACCTGTTCTCTCGTGTGTGTCCGATGTCCCCCCTCGGCCGGGTGGCAGTTTCGCGAGGAGCGCCACGTACTTTTGCTTCTGCGTTTGCTTTTGCCTTTACCTTTGCTCTGCTTCGATTCGATTTGATTCTATCCTATTCGCCCTTATCCGCTTTGCGTATGATGACTCTTTTTTCCTGCTTCCCCGCCGATAGCATTTCTTAATCCCGGCGTACAGCGAACGGCGCACACTTTAATTCGCTTTGTAGCTTCTCTACCAGTTTGCCCCCAAATGAACGTACAACGTGGCCACCTTTGATGGCCACCTCGCTAAAGCTCCAAAACTGCGTACCTCTGGAGATGAAAAAATTGGCAACTCTTTAACGCTTAATTCGGAGCATCAAATGGAGAAGAGGCCCCTTTCTACATTTTTTTTTTTTTTTTTTTTCTTTTTCCGTTTTGAAATGTGCCACATTGCGCTCTTTTCACCTCCACGCGACAAACTTGAAATGGTGATCATCAATGTGGAGGTAATTTTTGGTTGTTGCCAGGTGAGGATACGGCCTCATCAAAGAATGGCTACTCATTTGCTAAATCTTTGATGGGGGAATTACTCCCCATTTGCGCCGAACACCTTCGAGAATGAATGGAGTACTTAGTCTACAGCGCGTTGTGCGTATGCACCATCAGGGAGTGTGGGGGATACGTATATATGCAGACGTATTTTTTCCCGTTGCAAAATGCTCATCCAAGTGGCAGGGGTCTGACAAAAAGCAAGTGCCGAGGTGATGTGCACTTTCCAAATTAGAAGGTGCCGTTGAAGTTTCCTTTTTTTTTTATCTTCTTATTCTTTTTCACTTCACATAAAAGGGGAACAGTTCACGGGTGAGAGACAACTTGGGGATTTCCTGGGGCGTGGGGGCGCTTATTATGCGGGATGAGAAGCGGTACGTGCGTGCCCCCATTTGTGTACCCTCCTCTGGGTGTGTATTTTCTTCTTTTTTTTTTCGCGCCGTTTCCGTGTGCATCAGTGTTCTTAAAATGTGCAATCACAGAGGACATAATTTCCCAACGATGCATTACAACACTGTGCATACATCGAAAGGAAGCAAACGGATAGTGCATTCGAATTTTTACCAATGCAGTTGTTGTCTGAGTTCACTCAATATATGTACGAGATGCTTAGTAGGACTTTCTTCCCTCCATCACGCTGTTCTTATCCCCATTTGGTGAATAAAAGATATGCCTTTTTTTTCTTAAACTGTGTATTTACCTAACCTATATAACCCCGCAAAAATACAATGTTCTTTAATAAATACAAAAAAAAGTTTACAAACACCAAACGGAGGTACTGCGATGCGCCCGGAATTGATTTCCAAAAGAGCAGAAAAATATTCAATCTGTTTGCAGACGAGGAATCGTTAAGAAATCTGATTTTAAAAAATTATTTTAAGATCATTTTAGAAAAAGTTTTTGTTAATTTCCAGAAAAAGAACTACATCTTCGAAGTGTTTATCTATGTGGACATTCTAAAATTGTGATGCTTCCATGAATAAGCGCAAAGAGGGGGGGGGCGGTGGAGGAGAGACAACCATGTGACTGCATCGATGTGGCGCCTTTACGCATGGTGCTCTCGCGCATGTTCATTGTTATTTCTTCACGTTCCCTGTCCCTCCTCCACAAGTCGCCCTTCCACCCATTTCTTAAATGCAGAGTAGACTCCACGAACTATGCGGGATGCTACATCACGAAGAACTTCGTCGCGTTTACCAACGCGTTTAACGAAATTTCATACTCCCTGTTGTCCCAATTTGAGCAGCGACTTAAGGTGCGGCTATGGGGAGCACTTCCACTGTCTGCGAGTTGTTCAGCGTCCGCTCGCGGGGGGCAGACCCCATTGAGTGGCATGCCTCCCTGGGAATTCTTCATTAATATGCTCATGCGTTGTGTCCACCTTTTCTCCACCCACCCAACACACACACAAACGCTCACAGAGAGAAAAACCCGAAGACGACATGGTGGAATATCTGAATATTATCATAAGCTGCAAATTTATTTTCGTCACACTTATTCCGATAAACACCCCCATAAAGGTAAAAAAAATTTTGGGGGGATCCCGAAAGCGCTGTCGTGATCGCATAGATTCATTTCGTCTAGGTACAAATATGTGATGATTTCTGTTTACCTTCAAAATGTGCAGACCGATTGTATCCTTAATCTAGGGAATGTGAACAACCTGGGGAGCCATTTTTATCACGTGATTGAACTGATAAATGCGACACTGATGAGCAAAGATAAGAAGAGCTTTTTGTATAAAAAGATGTATATGAGAGTATGCGAGTGCTCCAAGAAGTATTTGGCGCACCAGAATATAATTGTGCAAATGAATAAGCTTGGGAAAATGGACGAGTAAGCCCTTCTTCGGAGGGGGCGTCTCAAGGGGGAAAAAAGAAGAGAGAGACAGACAAAAAGGGCGATGTGAAGAGAGAAACACGTAGAAGTACGTATACACCCCCCCAACAAAGCACAGATCTGCGCTAGCCTAGTGAAGACATGCTCATGGAGGTATTCCATATTTTCACAGCAACAAAACAGATAAAGAAGTGTGCGCGTTGTGCTTCACGAAGCAGTACGAGGAAATGACCCAGAAGAGGCAGTTCAAAAATTTTTACCTCTTGAAGTTTTCTTTCACCCGGGCGATGGATGAGTACAGCAACAGGGGTTATGCCGCGCAGATATGATGAGAAGATGGGACGCTTCTATTTTCCGCTTCGACCTTGCTCTAATGTTCATTCCTCCCACACTATGCATTTCGTAAACACACACCCATATGCCCATTTAACATTTCCTTTTTCTCTTTTTCTTCTTTTTTTTTTTTTTTTTTACCAAGACGAATGTACAACATTTGAAGTTTTATACCAAGATGTAGCGGAAAAGAATGAGACGTTTGAAATTGGGATGAAATACAATTTGATAGTTGTATCAATACCTAACCAGGTTAAATTTGCACTTTCATAATCTTGGATTGTGCTATGTGATTTTATTTGTCTTTTATGAGTGTATCTCATAAAGAAGTTTCCATTCGCTCATTCAGCGTCCATATTCTGTATGCTAATTTACCATTTTCCTTTTTTTTTTTTTTTTTATCTCCCTCACGACAGCCAAATAAGAACAGCATTAAGGGGGCGCACGTTGGGAACCTTTGGCTCCTGAATTATAGGAAGGACGTAATTTGCGAAAAAGGGGAGAAAATGCACCTCGATATTTCATTTCGCCATGGCGCACGTTTGTGCCATATCTCCTTTTGCAGCTCCGCAAGTTGAAAGCTGCGAAAATTGGAAGCTTCTAAGTTGTAAGCTGCGCAACTTGTACCCCTCACATACTGGTCATCTTCCCCTTGGGGGCCTTTCCAAAGAAAACGAAAAAGCTCCAATGCAGATCACTGTCGGTTCCAGAAGACACAAACCTAATGTTGTCTACCGAAGGGTTCAACTGTTTGCTGCAAACCTCAAATTTAGAAGGTGCACTACTTTTACATCTGCTTTATGCGAAATGGTGCGTGTAGGCGGCATATGCTACAATGTGAAGCTTGCACAGGGGTAAACCCGCCTCCACTCATTTTGTATATTTCCCACGTTTGCTTCCTCCTGTTTCCCTTTGCATACTCTCCAGATATGAACAAAATCATACGTGACATCCTGAAGCTGCCGCCCAACAATTCCAGCTTGAGCAAAATTTGCAGAACGACGAAGCTAACCCTAATTTTGATTAGCATATGCAGCAACGTGCTGAGATACGCCAAGTTGGACACGTTTGCGCACGATTTGTACAACAAGCTGCACACGAACAAGTGGGTCGGCGGGGACGTCTCGCGGCATGCCCTAACGGGTAAGTGGGGAGAAATGAAGTAGTTAAATGAGCAGACAAAAGAGTAGTAAGATGAGAAGACAAAGGAGTAGAAAGATGAGAAGACAAAAGAGTAGTAAAATGAGCAGATAGTTACGTAGGAAACTATGTAGGCTGCTTAACGAACGAGACTGTCATGTGGAGAGCGAAGCTTGGGAGAGGCACGCCGCTGGAGAGGATTCCCCATCTGCGCATGGAATTGCGTCCAAACATGCTCTGTATACTAATCACACTGTGTGTACAATGTGCACCCCCTGGGCTCCCCCTTGCGTAGGAGTAAGAGCCCCGCACTGCTTCTTCATTTGTCTAGATGAAGTAATAATGGTGGACTTGGTTAAATTTTGCAATTATTTCTGTAACATTAGCATTCTGCACGTGAAGGCAGACTCCTTCAACGTCTTGTTTACGCAAAAGTACGACATCCTCGTAATCAACATAAATAATTTGAACAGCCTCCAAATTAACGTTTTGGTGGAATTAATGAAGAACGGCGTGTACAGGTGCAACAAGGCGCTCTTCCCGGTGTCTACGACGTTTTGGATCTACGCCGTGAAGTCCTACATACGGAGCGAGCAGGTGGGGCAAGTCCGAGAGCAGCGCTACATGGTGGTGCATACGCCTATGCACATATTTGGGTAAACATTCACACACACTTGCGGTTATGAGCCGATAAACCGAATCACCCTCGTTTGCAGGAATTCAACTCCTATATTAAGGGAAATCTCCTGGCGCGATTCGATTTCTTATTCGAACTGAGCTTTGATGGTGAGGATGACATCATCGACGAGGTCCTAAGAAGCACGGATGAAGCTGGAAAAGGAAATTGCGACTTCTACTTCGAGCTGAATAAGAACTACTCCTATTTGAAGAAAAGCCATTTGGCCCATTTTGAATTCAAGGGGATGTGCAGTGTGACCAAGTCTATCATCCAGAAGTACTTCAGCATGGCTGCCGACTTGTCAACCTTGACTGTGTAAGGGGAACCGAATGTAGCTTCCTCCT